GGGAAGTTAAAAAGACCATACTGATTTTTGCAAACTTTGACGAATTTTTAAAGCTAAACCAGTTGTCGTAGGGCCGTAATATTTTAGTATGACCTAGAAAACTATGGTATCTATCGTCAAAAAAATAATCATAAAAATCGTCAAAATTTTTTTTTTAAAAACTTTATTACAAGAAAACGGCCCGGCCGATCTTTACCAAAAACTAATCAGCACGATTCCCAACCAATATCTATCGAACGGTTTTTGAATTTTCAGAATCGATTCAGAATTGCGGGCTAAAACGTGGACGAAAAATTTTTCACTTTTCTGCAATTTACAAAGAAAACGGCCCGGCCGATCGCCGCACAAAACTCAGAGACGATAGTCCTCATCGAGATACATCAAATGGCTTTTAAATTTTTGAAATCGGTCCAACCGTTTTGGAGAGAAAACGTCGATTTACGGCAAAAAATCTGTTCACACACACACACACCACACATACACACACACACACACACACACACACACACATACTTTTTCCAAATTTGGTCTCATTCGATTCAGAATGGCTCGAAACGTCGAGAAAACATAAAATTAGCGATTCGGATTTTTTGATGAAAACATAAACTTCTCCTTCGGGAAGTTAATAATCCAAAAATCTGGGACTATACGATGACTTCTGGTATAACAGAGGCAGCCTTATGCCATTTAGGAAATTATAGATCAGAGTTAGATACATTTAATCTAATATTTGATGATATTTTTTGAAACATTTGTGACCGCCACGAATCAGTATGCAAATCAAATTCGGCAAACTTCACATACTACACAAAAAATTGACGACACTTGGTTTTCTGTAGACAATAACGAAATTAGAAGATATTTTGCATTGACCATATTAATGTCGCAGGTGAAGAAACCAAGAATCCAAATGAACTGGTCGCAAAGGGCTGTTATCAAAACACCCATATTTAGAAAACCAATGCCTTACAGGAGATTTCTGCAAATTACAAGGTTTTAGCATTTTTCAAATAACAGTCTAGTTGACAAAACAGACAAATTGTACAAAGTTAGACCTATAATTGATTTTTTAAACCAGAAATTCAAAGATCTGTATGTAATGAAACTAGACATTTCCATAGATGAATCTCTTATGAAATTCAAGGGGCGTTTATCTTATAAAAAATTTAACCCATCGAAAAGAGCCAGGTTTGGGGTTAAATTTTATAAACTATGTTAGTCCAATAAGCTATTGCTTTGGATTTAAAATATATACCGGCGAGGTCAAACTGAACTATGAAGATAGCGCTTCAGAAAGTGTAGTCAAAAACTTGCTGAATCAGTGTTGCACAGAGGTCACACTTTATACACAGACAATTGTTATTCTTCTCCAAAATTATTTATGACCTTATCATATAAATATAAAACAAATGTAATTGGCACAGTACGTTCGAATAGGAAAAATATGCCAAAAGATTTATGCAGTGTAAAATTAAAAAAAGGGGAGTACGTTATAAGAAGCTGCAACCGAATACTCGCTCTAAAATGGAAAGACAAGCGAGATGTTTATATGTTATCGACAAAATTTTGAAACAGTCGAAATGATTTCGCTAGGATCTAAACGCATTTTAAAGCCAAATTGTGTTACAGAGTACAATAAGAGAATGAATGGAATTGATCTCCAAGATGTTTTCCAATAATGAGGAAAAACATGAAAGGATATAAAATTTTTTTTATCTGTTTGATATGGCCTTTTTAATTCTTATATCTTATGGAAAAAAAACTGAATCACGAAAAGAAACAATGTTATGTCGACTATAAGATCAACATTGCTGAATATTTATTAAAGAATATGCCAAAACCGGCTTACAGAGTACGAGGCGTATTAGCTTTTGCTGATGCGCCAGATAGACTTTTGACGAAGGAATGGGGCCATTTTCCAAAGCATATTGACAAAACACCATCAAAATTAAGATCGTCAAGACGTTGTGCAGTTTGTAACAAATATCAAAAACGCAAAGAAACAACGTGGGAATGCAAGAAGTATGAAGTTCTCGTACATGTACCAGAATGCTTTGAAATATATCATACCGTTACCGTCTACTAATTTTGTATTTTAGAGTTACTCATTTTGTATTTTACAGTAACTGATTTTGTATTTTAGAGTTACTAATTTTGTATTTCGTATTTTTTTATTTTTATATTTCGTGTTTATTTTAGTTTTATATAAATATATATTTTATAATACTTGCGCCTACCGCGTAATTGCGTAGCAAATATTCAACGTAATATTTACATCTGGCTCGATTACACCGCGCGGACTATGCCCGTAACATTCACTTCTGGCCCGATCATCGTACGCGGGCTATGCCCGTAAAATTTAAGTTTGGCCTAGTCATCGCACGCGGGCTCTGCTCGTCATTTTAAGTTAAGGGGTTAACTATTCATGTATAAATTGTTACCAAATTTCAAGTCTAATTATTATTAATAATTATAAATCTATGTAAACATATGATATAACCTATATTCCAATTTACTAATATTTACTATATTGCAGAAAAAAATATTAGTATTATAGACATAATTTATAAAGGGGGGCGATACATGTAAAAAAAAGCCAATTTTTGACGATTTATCTCGGGATGACTTGCTTGAAAGATGTTTAGGAGGTCACACTCAGAATGCAAATGAAAGTTATAATTCTACTCTCTGGCGCCTCTGTCCAAAACATCTCAACTCTGGACGGAAGATCGTAGAGATTAGTGCTTTTATATCTGCAGGATTGTTCAATGATGGGTTAAATTTTATCTTACAACTTATGAACTCACTGCAAATTGTTATTGGCCGTCAATCCATGTCATATAAAGAGAAAATCGATGAGCGAGAGTGAATCAAGAAAATCGCAGCAGCTCTTTGACCACCAAACAAGCTCGTCAAGCATGTCTGCAGGAACTTGCAAAGAAAACGAGTTCCTTGAACGTACCGAAGGACTTCTATATGGCCCTGAAATCGCTGATTAATCGGTAAGCCACTTTAATCATACAGTTTCTATGTGTCAAAACTTTAAACGCATTTTTCTCAAAACAACATTTTTGAAATTTGCGGGTGGGATAACTCAAAAAGTTCTCAACCGATTCCAATGAAATTTTGCACACATCTGCTTTACAGTAATAGCTTCTAGTTAAGCCTCAAACATTCCAATAAAATTTTCAAAAATTAACCCTTTTATCAAAAGAAACATTGAAAAAAAGGTGAAAAATCAAACTTTTTTTTTCTGAGGTGTGCCAATTTACGATTTTGTGACTTTTTTTGGGCTCAACTAGAAGATATATGTTTTATGAACACGTACAAACTAATTTTTTTGATTTCAGATCACCGTACGAAAAGTGAGAACGCCCGCAAATTGATGGCTTTTTCCGAGAGGGTCTTGGCAGATTTATTTTTACGGCAACCATTTAAAAAAAAATTAAAAAACAAATTTTTTTGGGTATTTTAATATATGATAAATAACCCTGAAAAAGTTCCAAAAGATTCAGTCATTCCTTGCCAGTTTAAAAAGTCCTCAAAAAACGGTAAAAATTAAGGCGATTACATGTATCCAATTTTACCAAATTTTATACAAATTTATGGAAATTTACAAACTTATAGAAATTATAAATTACAAAATTTATCCCTATTTTGATAAAAAACCTTATATTTTGGGTTTCAAGACCATTGTGTCCCAAGATTTTTTAAATTATTTTGTATTATATATTTATTTTGTACTAATACGGTTCTTAGCCGTATAGGGTTTTGATGTATAACATTGGGAACACCAGTGATCTACTAGAATAAAAGTTAATAGAAGATCATCATATTGCATTTTCGTGTTTTTTTTTTTTTGAACTCAGCTTTTAGCGGTCAGGTTATTAGATCTTGAAAGAAACTGATTCCAGGCTGTGAGCGAATAAATCATTTAGATAAAAACAGCATCTAGAACATCATATAGCTATTATTTTTAAACGTTTTTGATACAAAAACTATTATATGAGGGCCGTGACAAAGCCTGTCACCGAATATAAACTAAAATGTGTTGTTCTACCACATACGACTGAATGATGAGTGATATGCTTATTTGATAAATTAAGATTGCTTTCAGTATTAATGTAATATAGTTCTTATAGTAAATAATGTAAATAAATATAAAGTTTTTACAGAATCTTCGATATTTTCATTACTAAAGGCGGCTTTACACTGTAGAGAAAAATCTAGGTAGAGTGTAGACTCTCCAGCTAGAGCGCTCCACCGTTGTCTGTACACTGTAAAGTGTTTTCTTGTTCCGAGAGCACTTTCGTACTCTAGGAGAGGAGTAGGTGAGAGGTGCTAGAGCAACTCTACCTAGACACTCTAAAAATCTATGTACACTTGTGGCTAAATATTTTAATATATATTAATCTAAGACTTTACAACTAGACTTTGTTTTTCAGTCTAGTTCATGTGAGACAATTGACAACTTTTGTCGTTTTGTATCTTTGATAATAAAGTTATTATGATAAGTTCCCGGCAAAAACAAGGTTTAGCTGCATTGGTGGTATATTGTTTAATTAAAAGAAGAAATAAGAAAGTAAAAAAAATGTGGGTGTGGCGACCAGATGGCGCACCCAATATATCTTGAACCTAAATACCACAGGATGGCGCCTGTAATATACGCGCAAGAGCGAGACGCACAACTGGCCAGTGAACTAGTGGGAATTGCTGGTCAGAGTATAAAACGGACCTACCTACGATAATCGATCTCTTTACCGCATTCGCCGCAGTCGGGAACGGACCAGCCTCTAGGACCCGGAAGAAGATTAAATCCAGGTTCAAGACTAAGCAACAACACTGATCATATATACTACTGTATTTATGCAATTGTATGTATACAATAAATATTATATTATATTATTGAGTTATTTTAGAAGAAATAATATATAGTGGAAATACCCACATAATTGGTGACCCCGACGAGTGGACAACCGCATATAAAAAAAACTTCAAGCATGGATTCAGAAGGTACTCCTTCGAAGTGTTTACAAGAGTCTCCTTCAAAGCAAATTTCTCAACTCGACTTAGTGAATCGAGTATCGGTGAAAATTCCACCATTTTGGGAGAACAGCCCGGATCTCTGGTTTTCACAAATTGAAGCACAGTTTGACATCGCAACAATAACCAATGAGAACACAAGATTCTCATATGTAATCGCAAACCTCGAGGAGAAACAGGCTCGAGAAGTAGAAGATGTCATTAAACAACCGCCAACAGAAAACCCCTACTCCTACTTGAAGAAAGTACTTATAAGCAGACTATGTGCTTCGGAAGAAACCAGAATCAAACAAATCCTCTCTGAAGAAGAGTTAGGAGATCGCCGTCCATCGCAGTTTCTTCGACATTTACGTTCCCTTGCTGGCCACACGACAATCGGTGAAAGCATGTTCAGATCACTATGGATGCAAAGGCTTCCTGCGTACATACGCGCCATACTGCAAACACAATGCGACCTGCCTCTAGATAAACTAGCAGCTACGGCAGATAAAATTTTAGAGGTACAGCCGTTAATCCACCACGTAGATTCAACCAAGCAAGTGCACTATAATAAACCTTCTGAGCAACGCCAGAGTGATCAACTGGAAGAATTAACCAAGCAAGTACGCGACTTACAGAAACAAATTCGATATTTAAATCAAAAAGGAAGATCAAGATCAAAAAGTAGAGAACGGGTGGAATACACAAAATGTTGGTACCATAATCAATTCGGCAGAAAAGCAAGAAAATGTCAGGCACCCTGCTCCTGGAATATGTACCGTAAAACATCCAATACAAAAAACGAGGAAAAAGATCAGTAAAGGCGACGGCTGATCACAAAACTCCTAAAAGTCGCCTATTTGTTTTTGACAAAAATAATAATATTAAATTTCTAATAGATACAGGTTCAGATGTTTCCTGCTATCCTCGGAGGTCCATCCGCAGGTGTATCAAGACAAATTACGAGTTGCAAGCAGCCAATGGTACACGGATTAAAACATACGGTCAAAAACACCTACGCCTTAACCTCGGGCTAAGAAGAGAATTCAGCTGGAAATTTATTGTAGCAGACGTGGATTCACCAATCATAGGCTCCGACTTCTTAGCTTTCTTCGGATTACTGCCAGATTGCCGAAACAAAAGGATCGTCGACGGAACCACAGGTTTGTGTACAATTGGAGTGACTCTCAAGACACCCCAACAAAGCATAAAAACTCTCAAAAATAAAAGGTCAGTAATACATAACATATTGGAAGAGTTTCCAAATTTAACCAAACCGTCTGGAACACCACGCAAAATAAAGCACAAAACAACACATTCAATAATCACAACACCAGGCCCACCAGTGTCCTGCCGTCCACGACGTCTTGCGCCTGATCGTTACAAGATCGCAAAGGCCGAATTCGAAGTAATGCTCCACGAAGGAACAGCCCGGCGTTCAAAGAGTTCACGGTCTTCGCCCTTACACATAGTCGAAAAGAAGGATGGAGGATGGCAGCCTTGTGGCGACTACCGTGCACTCAACGCACGAACTGTACCAGACTAGTATCCAATTCGTCACATCCACGACTTCTCCACCAATCTACAAGGATGCACAATCTTTTCAGTGATAGACTTGGTCAAAGCGTATACCCAAATACCGGTCGAAGAACGAGATATTCCAAAAACAGCAATATCTACACCCTTTGGTTTATACGAATTTCCATTCATGTCCTTCGGTTTGAGAAATGCTGGACAAACTTTTCAACGTTTCATTGACGAGTTATTGACCGGATTAGATTTTTGTTTCGCTTATATTGACGACATTTTAGTTTTTTCAAACAATGAACAAGAACATCGCAAGCATTTACGTGTAATATTCGAACGCCTAGCCAGTAATGGAATATTAATTAATGAAACAAAAAGCACTTTTTCTGCTCCGCAAGTCTATTTTCTAGGTTACGAAATTTCTGCAGCAGGCACCAAACCACCATCTGGACGTATAGAAGATTTAAAGAATTTTCCTCGCCCAGAAAACGCAAAATCACTTCGACGATTTTTGGGAATGATGAATTTCTATCGTCGTTTCATTCCAAATGCAGCATCACATCAAACAGCACTCCACGATGCATTAGCAGGTATAAGAGGCAATCAAACAATCACGTGGACTCCGGAGCTAGACCAGGCATTTCAATGCTGCAAAGAAAGTTTGAGTCAAATTACATTGCTACATCACCCAATTCACGGCGCTTTATTGGGACTTTTTACAGATGCCTCTCAAACAGCTGTAGGAGCCTGCCTTCAACAACTGGTGAACAACAAGTGGCAACCACTAGCATTTTTCTCACGCAAAATGAATTCGCGACAGAGCTCATGGCCAGCTTATTACCGTGAGTTATTAGCAGTCTATTTGGCTGTACAACACTTTAACTTTAGACAATTTTTGGAAGCTCACCACTGCACAATATTTACCGACCATAAACCGTTAACATTTGCATTTCAACAGCGTCGCGAGAAACTACCACCGGTCCAACTAAATCAACTAAATTTTATTTCTCAATTTACGACAGATTTTAGGCATATTCCAGGTCATGAAAACATCACTGCCGACACATTGTCTCGTATCAATCAGGTATCAACAACAGAAGAAATCAACCACGAGATCATTGCAGAATATCAGCGTGATGATCCAGAACTAAAACAACTAATCGCTGGCAATAGCGCACTTCGCCTTCAACAAGTGCCTATCCCCGGTTCCGAGATCAAAATTTACTGCAACATAACAAGATCGAGTCAGCGCCCATATGTACCTGGTCCACTACGGCAACGAGTTTTCGAACTTTTACATCAGTTGAGCCATCCTGGTATCAGAGCAACGGCGAAGTTGGTTAGTTCCCGTTATGTTTGGCCGTCTATTCAAAAGGGATTGCCGCACTTGGGCACGTAGCTGTCAACAATGTCAACGTGCTAAGATATCCCGTCACGTACACTCGCCTCATGGATCAATCCCATTACCGACAAACGATAAAACTTATAGAACCAGATCAGGACGTAAGGTTCGTTTCCAGTTGCCATGACCTCCGGTCTCCGCAGGGGGCTGATGTGGCGACCAGATGGCGCACCCAATATATCTTGAACCTAAATACCACAGGATGGCGCCTGTAATATACGCGCAAGAGCGAGACGCACAACTGGCCAGTGAACTAGTGGGGATTGCTGGTCAGAGTATAAAACGGACCTACCTACGATAATCGATCTCTTTACCGCATTCGCCGCAGTTGGGAACGGACCAGCCTCTAGGACCCGGAAGAAGATTAAATCCAGGTTCAAGACTAAGCAACAACACTGATCATATATACTACTGTATTTATGCAATTGTATGTATACAATAAATATTATATTATATTATTGAGTTATTTTAGAAGAAATAATATATAGTGGAAATACCCACATGGGCTAGGAAATGGATTGCCAAAAGAGAAGAAGAGGGAGTTCATGCAAAGTTGTTAAAAGAACTCAAGTACCAAGACGTAACTTCTTATGAAAATTTTATAAGAATGACCCATAAAGATTTTCAGAATTTGCTGGAACGAATTGCTCCAAGAATTGGAAGACAAGATACTCATCTAAGAAAATCAATATCACCGCCTGAGCGGTTAACACTGACTGAGATTTCTTGCTACCGGTAAGTGGTATAAAACAATTATTTAAAATAATTCAAAAAACATTTTTGTACTATTTATTTATAAAAATTGTACCACTATTTATTGTAAATAAATATATTATAGGTGACAGTTATCAGTCATTAAGCTATTTGTTCGGATTCGCCAACAACTATTTCCGTATTGTTCCGGAGGGTGTGTTATGCTCTGTACTTGGAATTGAAAAATGATTATTTGAAGGTATGACAAAATGTTCAATGTTGTCATAATATTGCGTTACAGTAGTCTCGTTTTGCGTTGGAGAAATCATTTGGTATACTACTGGAGTGCTGGATGAACCGGAGTACTCACTCAAATTACTTGGAGAGAGCATAGAGTGGGTACTGGGAGGGGATACTTCTCGCATGTCGCCTTCCTCATTGCGTCTAAAATAGCTCTCCGAATCTTGCGTTTTAATTTTTTTTTCGGATATCTTCAAGCGTATTCCTCTCAACTCTGCTGTAGTAACAAACCCTCCAAATACGTCCAAT